CTAGGTGCAGTGGATGACTAGAGATATATCTAGGTGCAGTGGATGACTGGAGATATGTCTAGGTGCAGTGGATGACTAGAGATATATTTAGGTGCAGTGGATGACTGGAGATATATCTAGGTGCAGTGGATGCCTAGAGATATGTCTAGGTGCAGTGGATGACTAGAGATATGTCTAGGTGCAGTGGATGACTAGAAATATGTCTAGGTGCAGTGGATGACTAGAGATATGTCTAGGTGCAGTGGATGACTAGAGATATATCTAGGTGCAGTGGATGACTAGAGATATATCTAGGTGCAGTGGATGACTGGAGATATGTCTAGGTGCAGTGGATGACTAGAGATATATCTAGGTGCAGTGGATGACTAGAGATATGTCTAGGTGCAGTGGAAGACTGGAGATATGTCTAGGTTCAGTGGATGACTAGAGATATGTCTAGGTGCAGTGGATGACTGGAGATATATCTAGGTGCAGTGGATGACTAGAGATATATCTAGGTGCAGTGGATGACTAGAGATATGTCTTAGTGCAGTGGATGACTAGAGATATGTCTAGGTGCAGTGGATGACTGGAGATATATCTAGGTGCAGTGGATGACTAGAGATATGTCTTACTGCAGTGGATGACTTGAGATATGTCTTAGTGCAGTGGATGACTAGAGATATGTCTAGGTGCAGTGGATGACTAGAGATATATCTAGGTGCAGTGGATGACTAGAGATATGTCTAGGTGTAGTTGATGACTAGAGATATATTTAGGTGCAGTGGATGACTGGAGATATGTCTAGGTGCAGTTGATGACTAGAGATATATCTAGGTGCAGTGGATGACTAGAGATATGTCTTAGTGCAGTGGATGACTAGAGATATGTCTAGGTGCAGTGGATGACTGGAGATATATCTAGGTGCAGTGGATGACTAGAGATATGTCTTACTGCAGTGGATGACTAGAGATATGTCTTAGTGCAGTGGATGACTAGAGATATGTCTAGGTGCAGTGGATGACTAGAGATATATCTAGGTGCAGTGGATGACTAGAGATATGTCTAGGTGTAGTTGATGACTAGAGATATATTTAGGTGCAGTGGATGACTGGAGATATGTCTAGGTGCAGTTGATGACTAGAGATATATCTAGGTGCAGTTGATGACTAGAGATATATTTAGGTGCAGTGGATGACTGGAGATATATCTAGGTGCAGTGGATGACTGGAGATATATCTAGGTGCAGTGGATGACTAGAGATATGTCTAGGTGCAGTGGATGACTGGAGATATGTCTAGGTGCAGTGGATGACTAGAGATATATCTAGGTGCAGTGGATGACTAGAGATATGTCTAGGTGCAGTGGATGACTAGAGATATGTCTAGGTGCAGTGGATGACTGGAGATATGTCTAGGTGCAGTGGATGACCAGGGCGTTCTACGTGCCTCGCCATGCTCTTTGCGTTCCACAACCCTTTGCTAGTGTCGCCGTCTTGCCCGTTGAACGAAATGTGGTTTCTTCCGCGCATTCTGCTGACAGTAGTCTGTGCATGCTTGGAAGGCAGATCCTAACTCATCAATAGTTTTTTCACCTGGTTTTGCCGGTTTTGCCTGTCAATGCCGTTGCCCTTGCCCGGGGGGGGGGGGGGGGGTGTAGTGGAGTTATTATGCAGTGATTGCTGGAAGATAATGTAGATTGTTTTAATGTAGACTGTTATAATGTAGTGATAGGTGGACGACTCCATAGCGTAGTGCCTAGAAGCATGCTTGTTGTCCTCAAGACTTAGTTCGAATCGGCAGCCAGACGGATTTCGTCATTTGACCTGAGCTCCCAGGTCGGCCTAACCTAAAATGTGTCTCAGAAATGTCCTGAAATGTAAAAGCGACTTGTGAATACATAATTTGACTCTCAGAGTAATTCAAGACAAGCCGGCAACAAAAAGAAACTTAACAACACAAATTGACCAGAAGGTCCAAAGGAGCAAAAGAAACAAAATTAGCGCACGAATATAATAGGTCGTTTCGACCAAAATCTTTTTCAGCAAACAAAAAGCTTTCAGCGTATTATTTACATAATGTTGCAGAACCAAGCCCAGAATGTTTTGCTGTTTGTATTTACTATTCAGTTTTACGTTTAGAAGTATAACATTGCCAATGTAATATCGGCTCATAATATCATTACTGAAATAAACGAAAAGCTCTCTGCCACTCAATCCCCCTGAGCAGGAATCCAGCCCGGTATTTCAGAACTATGAAACTCGCTCATAACGTCTAAGCCCCAGACGACGACTCGAACGAAACAGACCAAAAAACATTCAGCAAAGCAAGCATGGAAACGAGAAAATAAATATATGAAAAATGTGGACAGGAAGAGCTGTTACGAAATAAAACAAACAAAATACAGAAGGGGCGTCTTTTCATTTATCCCGTTGAACTTTTTAGACTGAGCTTGTTATTTACTTACCAGGTTTGGCGGGAAGTTCTTGCAATGCTAAACCTCGATTCCAGATTTAGACAATACTCTTTAAGATGCTTTTTTCCGAATGATAATTAGGTCTTGCTCTCTCGCTCTTATTCTCGTGACGTTGTAGGAATAATAGTTCTTGTAAGGAGTGGGGCCATAGTTTTACATCTTTACAACATAAACGTCACTGGTTCGTTTATTGCCTCTCTCTCTCTCCCTCTCTCTCTCTCTCTCTCTCTCTCTCTTTCTTCCTGTTTCGCTATCTCTGTCTCTCTTTCTTCCTCTCTCCCTCTGTTTCTGTCCCTCTGTGTGTCTCTTTTTGTGTCTCTCTCTCTGTGACTGTCTTTCTGTGTGTCTCTCTGTGTGACTGTCTCTCTCTGTGTCTGTCTGTCTGAAATGCGTATTGATAAAATACAGCTGCAGTGGGAAAGATAAGTGTTTGGAAGTGCCGATTGTAAGACGGGCCTGCGTGTCCAATTTGTAACCTTTTGAAAAAAAAGTTCGTTTATTCGTTCTCTCTCTCTCTCTCTCTCTCTCTCTCTCTCTCTCTCTCTCTCTCTCTCTCTCTCTCTGTCTCTGTCTCTGTCTATCTCTATCTTTCTCTCTAACTTTAATGTTTCATCTTTTTCTTGCAGTGCAGTCTTTATTTGTGAGGCCTGATCACTGAATGTAATAGCCAAGCAATTTCCACAGTTGGTTGTTGGTGCTATTGATCAAAGACATTCAATCTTGGATTCAATGCTCCATAGAGAACTAGCCGCTAGCAAGTATTTATTATTGATTGCCTTGTTCCGGATCAAGTGTCCCGCGTCAGACATTCTCAGGGAAACCTCGCTTACAGGAATTCCAAAGTGGCCGAAAACCGAGCTCGTGTTTAAACATTCGCGCTAATCGCAATAATAATAACATATCCCCACTTAGACCAAACTTGTTTTTGTTAACAGAATGTTCTTTTTGAAGGAGTTCATATTTACGAGGTTTAGGGTAACACGTGAGAGCCGCCGTAATGTAGCGGCTAGACGCTCGTGTGTGGATCCAAAGGTCGTGGTGTAGCGGCTAGATGCTCGTCTGTGGATCCAAAGGTCGTGGGTTCAGGCCCTGACGGAACTGGACTTTTTCAAAACTAACTTTGGCTTCCGAACAGACCCAGCCTTAGGTGGGTACCAGATGAAGTCTTCGGAAGTAAAGGCGGCCGGTGTGATGTTGACCACATCACACACCGAGTGCTCACTGGCCTATAAAATTTAGGTCTAGCCCTATATGCCCATCAGGCCTGAACGGAGTGGGAAAGTGTCCTTTCATTCTTCACTTACCTACAGAATGTTGGTTTCACGTTAACTAGGTTTACTGTTGTAGGGTGTATTAAACAGTCTCGCATCACGTTTACACAAGACACACTTCGATGTAAGGCTCAGCTGTAGACTTCTACGACACATTTTGGATTGTCAGGTATAATGTTTGAATGTTATATTCAAGTCTATCTAACTATCTTCTTTTACCCCACCAGGACATCACACAGGCGATAAACACCTGATCACACAAAGTGCCACCATGTGGATGAGGATCACCGTGGAGAGGTCCCAGAAACCGTGTTCAGCCACTAGACCATATTTAAGGCCGGGCTACATCAGAGTGCTGATGGTCTGTAAAAATATGGGACGCTCTGCCCATATGCTCGATGCGCCGAAAGGCGTGAAAAGGGAACTTTACTTTACTTTTACTACATTACGGCCTCTGGCAAGAGACAGGTGGGGCTTTAAATAAAAAAAAAATTGCATTTCAGAAAGGAATGACAGAATAATGTTCTATTCTACTCAATGATTCCTCCTTCTGTGTGAGATACTTTTTCCCCCCTTCCGGTTCTCAAATTAAAATCCACCTGTTTGTGTGTATATTTCTACACATCATTTTTTTTTTACCTCGTAGATTCCACAAGAGACATTTTTTAGTCAAACTATTAACTGGTCTTTTTAGTCTGTGCTCTGCAAAGATCTACTACCATTTGTACACTAGCCGATGTTTAACTGCAAGTTGTCAAGTTTAAAAAAAAAATATTTTTATAGTTTTTCCCTGTTGGCTTGCTGCCCAAGGATGAGAATCAAACCGGTCTGATAGCCTCAAACCTGGGTCATTCGCATGACAGTTACACCTGGGCCCTTGATGTTGACTTAATGACCTCTTGTCCGGACCACGTGTGTAACCTGTTACTGAGTCTCTACAGTTACCGTTTATTAGTGATTACGATGCATATAATATGCCGTTTAAGCGGTCATTTGTATCATTTCTTTATCTGCATGCATTGCAGCTACTAAACGTAACATTCGCTTAGAAAAACCACAACAGACTAAAAATGCTGGGGTTGGTTCTGCAGTGTCCTGTAAAGGATACACAACTAACTTTTGCATACATTGCAGCAAAATTGTCATTGCAGTGATGTTACTAAAAAGTGCAAGAAGGACATTGATAAAAAACTGGTTGATATTTGCCTCCACTTGTATTTTTTTTTAAAAGTCCAATCATTCAGTGATAAACTCAGAGCTTAGAACAGTGCATCTTTAAACTTCTGCATCCTCATCACTAGAGTGGCCCTTCTTGGCATTCTTTCTCTTCACACGTCCTGGTCTGCCACCGCCGTAAGGTGAGCGCAGAGAGAAGTCAATGTGTTTCTGGGAGTCCAGGCGAACAATATAGCTGGGGATGTTTACCACTTGCTTACGCACCCTGATGTGTCTCTGTCTGATGAGAACTCGGGCATGATGAATGCTCTTAGCCAGGCCCAGCTTGAACACTTGAGTCTGCAGATGTCTCTCAAGGAAGTCATCCAAACGCAGACCCAAGACAAAATCAAGCTTCATCTTTCCTTCATCAAGTAGACCAATGCGTACCAGTCGACGGAGAAGAGCATTACCTTCCAACAATCTCTTCTAGTCCTTCTCGTCCAGTGTCAGCAACTCTCGGGCAGCCTTTCGGGTTTTACCCAGGGCATATTTCACTCTCCAGACTTCACGTTTGTTACGTAGTCAATATTCACCAATCAGCTTCAACTCCTGGTCCAGGCGCTCCTTCTCAAAGGGGCGACGAGGAGTAGTGTATGTTTTACTCTGGATGCGTGGAACACCCGGCATTGTGGGCGATTACTCTAGCGGAATCTTTCAGGGAAAGCTGCCTGCAATTGTTGGTTCAGGGAGGCCATTTTGTATATAGGAGAGCAGAGCCATCATTCGTTAGCAAGCATGACGGTAAAAATGGACTACTGACTTAACTAAAATTATATGTGACTATCCCAAAGGTGCAGATATCAGAACCTCAGTGTAAACCACAACACAACGTCTCATCCAATCTGTTAATAACGAAGGCAGAAGACGAATAAACATAAATATAAAATAAATCAATAAAAATAATAAGAAACATTTGCCACTCCTGTCGTGTTTCCGGCGACAAAGAAAACTTCCCAAGGATGATCTCCCTTCCTGTTTAGGAGCGATGACGTCAGCCTTTTTGGTCTTTTCTGTCATTCTGGCTTTAGCTGATTTGTTTCCCTTTGAGGCGTCTCTCTCTTTTGACGCCTTGAGCCATGTTATGTGGAATCATTCTGTGTTTCAATACAACACAAGTTAACTCATTGTATCTATCCACAGCTAGCTGGTAAGGTCCCTTCCGGTGTGCCACTCTCATACTACTGTCTGAAAGCCATGAGTAAAAGCTTTTATCTAAATCGTATATGGCTGGAATAGAACACTAATGAATGTGGAGGAATGTGATACTTGCTAGATTATATTTCCCGTCCTTTTTGTGAAGAAATTTTTCGTTATTTGAAGCCCTACTCTGGCTCTTGCCAGGGGCCGCAATATAGCCTGGCCATAAATATGGCCTAAAGGTTGAACACGGTTTCTGGGACCTCTCCACGGTGATCCTCACCCGCATGGTGGCACATTGTGTCATCGGGTCTTTATCGCTTGTGTGATGTCCTGGTGGGGTAGAAAGTCAGTCAGTCAGTGATACTTGCTTTATATTATTAGACTGATAAATTCAGAACTCCATGGCTGATGGTTTCAATGTTACGTTTACCAACTTTGCTTCAGGGAGCAGCCGTGGTGGGGCGGCTAGACGCTCGCATGCGGACCTGAAGGTTATTGATTCAGGTCCTGACGGAAACATATTTAAAAAAAAATTAACTTTGGCTTCCAGGTCGACGGAGTCTTCAGTGGTACTAAGTAAAGTCCTGGGAAGTAAAGGCTGCCAGCGTGATGTTGATCACATTAGTCACCGAGTGTCGATTGGTTTGTCAAATATCGATCTAGCCCTATATGTCTAGTGCCCACTGAAGGCGTAGAAATTAGTCCTTTACTTTGACTGTGTAAGTTTGATTCACATCATATTTCTATTCCTTGCATCCCGGTAGGCTGGGCTGAATTAGAAGCATAAAGGAGCCTTTTCCACTCCTTTATATGTATTGAGTATATTGGGTTAGCCCTATATTTTATATACAAATTGCCTTTACGTCCCATGACTTTTACCTGGTGCGCAATCAAGGTTAGGTCGACTTGAGAGCCAAGAAAATTTATGTTTATTTTCGTCAGGACCCGAATCCACAGTCTTCCGATTGGCAAGGTTAGCGCCTAGCTGCTACACCACGGCGGCTCCAGTTAGGAGCATAGCCCAATAAAAAGTTCGTCTGTTAAGGGTCGAAAAGGAACGGTTCCACGCCTGTCTCATCAGGAAGACGTGAGAATTGTTCATGGCTCAGGTCACCTCAACCACAGTGCCCCAGATCACCCTTTTTCTTTATTAGAATCTTCCAGCGGATACAAAGGCTGCACTCTCATGCAGGAGACCTGGCTGGAATCCTTGGTGAGACAGTTCAATTTTTTTCTCTCAAGAATAAAAAAAAATACTTAATTGCACAGTTCATGACGACTGCTTTTGCAATACAGACTCCCACTCCCAGCCTCTAGCTCCCTACCGCTTTCCATTCCATCAAGCACCGAGGATGTGGCCTAAGGAGTTAAGAATATGTGTAACATAACAGAGTCAAACAAACGCATGCTGAGTTCCTCGGTACTGAATGAATTAAGACTTAAGTTCAGCCAGGCAAGCAAGCTTTCAACCAATCGTCTAGTGACTTTATGAAAATAACGACGACGTTGTATTTATCTTAGAAAAAAAACAAGCCACTCAATGCATTATTATTTTCTGCACTGAAACATAGATGTCTAAACATAATGGTCTTGCTACATACAGAACATAGACAGAGTGTGAAGACGAGTCGGTCAAGTCAACTTCAAATGTGTTTCTCGAAAGCCGCCAGACCATGAGCTAGTGCACATAGCCTACAAGCATCTCTTGAAATATAATCTCCTAGTGAAAGAATCCAAAATAAATTGCAATTTCTCAGACATTTTTATGGAGACAAATCTGTATGTGGTCGTGGAAGCTGGATCAACAAATCTGTATGTGGTCGTGGTCACAGACAAGAAATTGTAGCAATATTTAGAGTCATAAAATGAATTAGAGACGTCTACAAAAACACATTTAAAATATACTAGGCGCCCTCAGCCTCCCTTCAGATTTTCTCATGGGGCCTTAACCTTGCTCATAATAATAATAACAACAATAATAATAAGTAAAAGACCCTTTTCGACCCCTTCAGGTGTATAGGGCATATAGGACTAGACCTATATTTTATAGACCAACTGGCACAAAATGGGTGAAGTTGACAGCATCACGCCGGCTTCGTCTACTTCCCGGGACTGCACCCGGTACCCACTCAAGGCTGGGTTGACCTGGGAGCCAAGGTCATTTTTGAAAAAAGTCCGGCTTCGCCAGGGAGGAAACCCGCGACCTTCCGATCCGCGGCGAGCGTCTAGTTTTACATAGCATATGAATACAATAATATATTTGACATACTATATGTTTAAACAAATAATTTCCAGGTGTGAGTTTCGAGGTCATATTTTTTAAGGGGCGGGGGATATCCCATGCACTGCTAAACACATGTAGTAAAATGCGAAGATTTACCGGCTGCTTTCGAAGTCGGAATGCATCTGCCTTAGATGCAAGGAACCAAGAGTATGCATGGTAATTAACCAGATATGTAAACCGGATGTGCTTACAAAAGTTAGTTTTGGAACAAGACCATTGACCAGAAGTGGACGTACAACCAAAACTTTCAGCAGCAGTTTACAACCAAGAAGATGAGAAGAAACAAAAACGTGCAAAGAGCCCTTCTATTTAAAGAGGCTGTTGGGAAGGGAACAGGAAGCAGTCGGCTCACAGATATCGTTCAGCAGTTGTCTGACAGAATAAATCAAGAATTAACTTCACTGCTGTCAGGACATTACCTTAGCTGCTCTAGTAGTAGTTAACCAACAGTTGACAATGATGGTCTCAGTTACAACCTGATTAAAAGACCCTCGCAGGTGAGTCATTCTCAGATATGGAAGCTGTTTTAGCACAAATGAACTGTGGCTGTTGATAGCTATGTACTGCATGCATTAATGAGCGAGCATCAGTCCCACTGAAGACTTCTGATCATGTCAAGCGGCGAACTATGTCCGTAGTTGCTTAGAAGCGTAGCACATGATGATGATAGTACATAGCCACGTTGGGGCCCACCCCTTCTCATGTCTTGTATCAGGTTACTGTATGTGTTTTTGTTTTCAATTAACCCGGATCAAGTTACAAAGCGGAAGTAAATCGGGCAAATACATAGGAGAAAATGGAACGAGAAATGATCTGATACCGGATAAACACACAAGGGCACAGCGTGTCTGAAACCAGACCGTTGTGGGAGACGGACTTTATAAACTAGAAAACGTAACGATGATTGTGAAAGCTGATTCATCTCATCGTTTGCCCCGTTTCATTTCTCACATGTTGCCAAGAGAAGTAATGGTTTCTTCTTCTCTTATTTGTTTTCTTTCATTAAAAAAATCTTCAGGTGTCAATTAAGATATAAGGTGTAATGTTCTACATATAGGAACAGTATAAGGGGTCTGATTAGTTAGTGGAATGAGGGAAGTTCCCGGGCTGCAAGGCACCAGATTAGCGTGGGAAAGAAAGAACGCGAGATATGATAAGTTTGCTTGGACAACGGTGGTAAGAATAACTGGTCATTCTGTGACTGGACCCCAGAGTGAAAGGGGGCAAACTGAATCCATAGTGATAGATATGAATGTTGATCTGGATGGAACCCCAATGAACGTTAGTCCCACACGGCAAGGAGTGAAGCTGTGCTAAATAACAGTTGAGGACAACAGTTGTGTTCTATGGCCTGTTGGCTGTGTGCATACCAGCGCCTATTGTCTGAAGCTTATCTGTAGACTTAGAGTGCCAGCAATGGGACCTTGCTCGAATGTTCGGCTTAAATGTTGATTCTTGTTGTTTGCGTTGTATTGATAATAATCCCACAAATTGCTGTCAACCTTCGTTGACTATCATTTGGAGTTGTGTGATAGCGGAGTTTGACTCGTGTGTACTGTGAGATTGACCCCAAGTCACGGAGCTTTTGTCAAATGTGTATCAGTGAGACTAAATACGGAGGAGATACATCACATTGGGAGCATGTTTTTTTTCTGGTCACCTAGACTATAGACACGTGCTATTGTAGAGTTCCTGTAACGTTATCTTTTTTAATTGTTCTTGGTCTATCTTCGTTCTGTAGACCAATCTGCTCTTTTGGTGGCTATTTGTATGGCATGTTGCTTTATTTGAGGAGTGCTTACCCGTTGACAACACTGCAGGTTACACCAACATGATGTACCAATAACTGGTGCCCTAATGACACATTCCTTGGCGGTTAGACACATCTGCGATCCTGTTGGTCTGCCATCCAGACTGGGATTGTTTGGTCACAGGGCTGTAAGCCTTCAGTTGGCAGCCTTGGGCGGGACAGCCAGAAAGACAGGAGATAATGCATCAATATGAGTTGTTTGTAACTTTAATTATGTAGAGAGTACTTGTTAAAGGTGAGGGAAAAACCCAGTTTACATAAGCAATGCATATGAAGATGGCCGGACTGGGAAACCCTGATTGAATAGGAAGGCGCTATAGAGTGTTGATGCAAGGTTCACGCAGTGTCACAGTAAGCAAGGCTATAAACACAAGAGGATAAATAGGGTTAACT